CTTCTGGTCTGTAGAACTGAATGGATAAACTCCCGTTGTTCTAAACCACCCAGTTTGTGGTAATTTGTCACAGCAGCCACCGGAATCTAATACAATCCCTTTGCAGCATTCCTGGTGTGAACTGTTAAGGCAACATGGCATGGTTCCCATCCTACATGATCCACCTCTCTAGCACCAACCCCCAACCTCCAACGGCTAGAATTAAGGCAGCAGGGGCCTCCCAGCCTGGAAAGCTGATGACCCTGCCTAGGGATGAATGGGCTGCCACAGAAGGGGGAAGGGACAGGAGCGCAGTAGCAGGAGTGGCAGCTTGTGGACAGATGTCTTCCTAGAGCCCATGGCCAAGAGATGTTTAGTATTCTGGGCTTAACAGTTCTGTCCCAGCAAGCCTAGTGCCAAGACTACCCCCTCTTTCCCCCAAAACACCCAGGAACACTGGCTCAGCTCCACGGGCAAAACACAGGCAACCCATCCAATAACCAACACAGACACACTCTCTGAGGACCAACACAGCTCTCCAGGGCACAGGAATGGGAAAGGAGCAAGAGTAAGGCCACTGGCAGGGGTGGGGTGGTAATTGAAAACCAAGATTTCATTATTCCGCAACAAAAAGAAATGAAGTACTTACTGATGACTTCAACACGGGTGCGTCTCGAAAACATTATGCTAAGTTAAAGAAGTCACAAAGGACTGCATGTTGTATGATTCAATCCATATGAAATAGACAAATCAAAACAAAAAGTAGATTAGTGGTTGCCAGTGTCTAGCTGTGGACTGAGGGATGATGACGCAGGGTTCCTTTGGGGGAATGACAAAAATGGTCTAAAATCAACTGATCATGGTGATAGATGCACATCTCTGTGAATACACTAAAAGCCACTGAATTGTACACTTTAAACCGGTTAATTTTATGGTATATGAATATCTGTTAAATTAAAAATGAAAACACAACCCAAGGGTCTATAGCACTGGGCAGGGAGAGGGAAGCCTTACATTGTTTGAAACTTCATAGCACGGCCTCAAAAGCCAAAGCACCGCACTCAAAACTTTCACAATGGGTAGAGGAGCGGGGAGCAGAGAATTAAAAGAAGAGATTATAACTCACTTCAGAGCAGAGAGTCCAATCTTCCTGCTCACCGCTACTCATTTTTATAGCTGTTTTACGGATGGAGAAACCAAAACCAAGGCCCAGAAAAGGGACCTGCCCTAAGACACAGAACTCAAACCCAGACCACCAAGGCAGGGACTACTTCCAGCTATACCAATGTGCCTCCCCGCCAGAAGAATCAGCAGGTTCCTAAATCTCATACGAAGGGTCTTTGCTAACAAAGATCAGTTGTTACCAGCAGTGGACAAAGGCTCCCGGGAAGAGTCCAGAAAACCCTGGGGAAACTTCAAGAAAAGAATCAAATCAGTCAAAGTAGGCGGCCACATCAGGTATTCACATACTCAAGCACAGGCAAAAAAAGAAAAGAAGAGCATCTGAGAGTTTAAGCCACAAAGCCAAGCCGGAGCCCCCAGGGTTTGAACTCAGGCCTGGCCAGCTCCTAAGCCCCAACTCCTTTCACACACAACCCTGCCTCCACATCATCCCACAGGCGCCCTGAAAGTCAACCCTGAGCTTATTCATCATTGTACAACTTGCCACAGAAATCACTATCTGCCAACCCTGAGCCTCACACAAAACAGGTTATTTGTCCTTACCACCAAGTATGGATGGCTGGAAGGGGACAGGGGAAAAACCCAATTCTTTCTCAAAAAGACACCCCACCATTCTGTCACTTCTAGGTACAGAGGGCCTTGGAGTGAGCTCCTTAAAATCCTAAAGCTAAACAACCTTATATGACCAGTGAGGAAACTGAGGCCCAAAGAACACAGACAACTTTTCTGACCTATCCAGCAAAGCCATGGCAGAACCAGAGTGGGGACCCAAGCATCCTGTCTATAGGATGTCAGGTCCAGCTTCTCCCACCACCTTAGCATGCATGCCACCCTCTCCGAATGCTCTGTGAGGTCTTCAAGCTCAAGACACCTTCACGACATTCTTTTCACGGGATAGACACGCAACAAGATGTCCGTGCCTGGGGAAGGAATCCCCTGACATGGCCACCTCCCCAGCACTGAGACCCTGGGGTGCCAAAAATGCAGTAGAGGTATAATCATAGCATCAGGACAAACAGCAAGTTTGAGTAGTCAGAACAAGGACCAGATTCATCATCTGGGGTCCCTCTCAACAACTCCCCTCTTTTCCAAGTGACCTAATTGACCTGCAGGCTACAAATGCCTCCAGTGACACTTCAGAACCAAGATGGGGGTGGCGGGAAGAATCTCCCCTCTTCTCAGGTTGGACCAGGTGAGGTGGGGAGAAACATCATCTTCCTCCTTTTGTCCCAAGGATGGGAAACCTCTCCACTGCCTGTGAAAAGGAAGAGAACATGTGCCCCAGAGCTTTGCTTCCATGTTCTTATGGTGTATCAGGGAGAATCCTAGACCAGGAGATGCAAAGAGTGTAAGGAGGTGTTTTTCTAGTCACCAAGGCAGTACAGGACTTTCTTCCTCTCAGTCCCTGGGACCAGGGATGTAGGATGTATCACTCCCCATTTCTGTGGAGGAAGAGAAGCAGACTTCACTCCAACCAACGAGAGAAGAAAAAATCCTGTTCCCGACCCTGGAGGTCCAGATATTTATACTGCCAGGAGGGGACGGGAACAAGGACAGGGGGATTAGGGCAAGGCGCTGGACTCTATGAAGTACAGAACGGTTTGTTTATCTGAGCCAACGGGGGAGGGATATGGGTAGAGAATTTCCCGGGAGGGGGGATGTCCTGAACTTCTTCCCTGTCTATGGGAACAAAAAAAACTTGCTGAAAACAATTCAGGAAACCCTGTTCCTGAAAATGAGAAACAAGCAAAGCTGGGTCAGAGAACTCAGACTATCTCCTAGTTATAGATCTCAGTCTCCATGTCCCCAATACTCATAGAAAGCAGAGGGACCTTCCTGGCCTCAGGGGGCCTCAGATAAGGGGATTTTAAGACTGTGAAGAGTAACCAATTCCTTCTATCCAATGGAGGAGGCCTCAGGCCCCAATGGAGAGGACCTTATGTCCCTTTCCCTAGTGAGAAAGGACTGCCTGGTTGCGGGAGGAGGGAGAGCCTCCCAAGAGAGCTCTGGGAGGCTCATATTCTTTTCTTCAGAATCCCACCCTATCCATGATTCCAAAAGAACTCGACAGTTCTCAAGACTTAGTTCACAAGTGGAGTGCTCTTAAGCCCAAATCCCCAAAACAAAAAATATGTCCCTAAAATAGGCCCTATGACTGGTCATACACATGCTGTCAGAGTGAGGTCAGTATTCTCAGGGAAGGCTCAGGTCCTAAGGTGTGGGAGATGTCTCATGTACCTGAGAGGAAGTTCAAATTCTTGAGGGGAGAGGGGGAGCTTTAGGACCCATTGCCCAGGGGCCCTGTACCCATGTCACAAAGGAAGAGCCTTGGGGCTCAATTCTGGTAGGAAGAGCTCTCCCTCCCTTAGATACTTTAGGGTACCTCTTGAAGGCTAACCTATGGTCCTTGAGGGGGAAACTCAGACCTTATTTCTAAAGACACACCAGTTGCTAGATAAGAGTATTTACAGGTCTCCTTCCCCTGAGAAAAAGCTCAAGTGTCCTTAGCACAGTGGGTCTCAGGTCCTTGAAGGAAGGTCTCAGACTCCACCTCTAGGATTCCATGCTGCCCATGTCCCCTGAAGAATGGTCTCAGACTTGAGTTCCAAAGGCAAAGGTCTTATGTCCCTGACAAAAGCTTGGGCCCTTGGGAAAAGAAGTAGCTCAGACCTGTTACCAAGGTTAGAGGGCTGTTACGTCCCTAAAGTGTGTTCCGATCCTTCATAATTGGGGTATATCTCATATCCCTGTGTATGGGAGTCCCAGACCCCCAAGGAAAACACTGTGTCACCACCAGTCCCTGAGGAGAAAGGTCTCCTAAAGACCTCACCTTGCCTGGTACACTGTAAGGGGCTATCAATCTCCAGAAGAGGCTTCAAACCCATTCACTGAAAACCCCAGTCCATAAGGGGGGGGGGGTCTCAGGCTTCCAAAACTGAGTCTCATTTTCTCCATAAAAGGCTCAGGCCTGGAGGCGGAACAGAAGTTCTGTTGCTTAGGCTCCTGGAGAGGGATTCAGACTCATGCCCAAGGAGGTCTTGGCCCACTTAGAGGAAGCACAGACCCGTTACTTAGAAAGAAGACAAATCTCACCTACCCTAATAGTTTCTGGTTCCTGAGTGTTGGTTTTGTTCCCAAGGGGTAGGGAATCTTATCTCCCCCAGAGAAGTCAAACTCCTCAAGGAAAGCTCAGAAGATCGCTCTCTCTAAAGGGTGTGTGTGTGTGTGTGTGTGTGTGTGTGTTCCTTGATCCTAGGAGAGGGAATCCTAGGCCCCTGAAGACATGCTTAAGACCTTTGAGGAAATCTCAGACCCTACTGCAGAGTGGTCCTGTGCTGAGTTCCCTGTGAAAGATGCGGAGAAGTGAGGTGGTATCTTGGGGATACTCATATCTCATTTCTTAAGTCTCCACCTTATTTGGTTCCCTGGAGGGGGAGTCTTAGACTCCTATCCTGGAGAAAAAGAAATCTCAAGTCACTGAACAGAGACCAAAGTCCCTTATGGAATTGGAGACTTCTTGTTCAGAAGGCATTCCATCCCGCCTGCGTCTCCAGGGGAGTTCCCACCTATTGCACCTACATAATGAAGTCCCAGGGATCAGAATGACAACTGTGGGTCCGAGAAGAGACCCTGTATCTCCATCTTATCTGAAGATTCTAACTCCAAGTTATAGGGGGGGGGAGAAGTGGGTGTCTCGTGCCTTTACCACCAGAGAAGAGTGCCAGGGTTCGAGAAAAGACAGGCCTCTTAAGGCAATCTCAAGTGACCACCTTGGGTCCCTATCCAGTCTGGGGATCTTATCCATTACACCCACTCATCTGCCACCCCCAAGCCCGTACCTGCTCCACGGTGGCAGGGTCCATGGCCTCGATGCGTGCTGCAGCCGCTTCGTACTCGTCCTCACTGTTGTAACCTGCGCCGACCTCCTCACGCTCCGGACTGCCCCCACCAACCGCACCAACCCCGGGGGCCTGACGCCGTCGCTTGCTGTGGCCCGGCCCGGAGCAGCAACTGCCCACACCCACAGCACCGCCCACGCCCACCACCACGCCCGCCGCGCCCACGCCCGCCGCTGCAGCGCCCAACGCGTCGCCGGGACCGCCTCCGGGACCGCCAGGACCCCCGCACGGTGGAGGAGAGGCCTGCTGGGGCCGGGGGCCAGCCACAGCACCGGGCGGCACAGCCAGCGCCCAGCGGTGAAGCGCTCCCGGTGGCCCGGTAGCGGGCCCGGAGGCGGGGGCGAGGCTCGAGGACGGGCCCCCACAACCCCTGTGTCACGGTCACGGTCGCCGCCACCCACGCCCGTGCCTCCGCCGCCCACGCCCACACCCCCGCCGCGGCGCGGCGCCGGGGGCAGCGGCCCGGGCGGCGGCGGCTCGTTGGCGGAGTCGGCGTCGGGAGGCGGCGGCTTCTTTTTGGGAGAATAGTCATGGTGGCACCGCCGAGTACCCCCCAGCAAACCCGGCGCGAGGCACGCCGGGATAGAACCCGGATGAGGGGGCTACGGTGGTGCGCGAAGCACGACGGGATCGGCGAGGCCCGGATAAAGAAATTGAGAAGGCACCGGTTCGAGAACTGTCGGCTGCACGCAGGTCACGAGGCTGGAGAACCCGGATGTGAGGTCCAAGATGAAGACACCGCGGCGAGTTTGTCGTAGCCTTCTCCCCAAGTCCAGCAAGTTTAAGGCTGCGCTCGTTCCGGCCTTCTGCTTCAAAGGAAACAGAACCAAAACAAGCACCTCTTCGCCCCGCCCCTTCACAGGTTCTCGAACTACCGGGTGGGGCCCCGGGCGCTGCGCACGCGCGCCAGGGCACAGCCCCGCCTCTTGCTCGGAAGTACGTGGGCAAAATCGCCGCCGCCGCCACAACAATTGCGGGCCCCAGCCAATCGAAGCCACTCCGTGGGTTCTCGATGTCGCCCACGGGCCAATCAGAGGCGAGCGATCTCCCTCCCGTGCCCTCCGTCTCGGGTTTCAAAGTCTGCACCTGGGTTCCTTGCCTTTTTTTTCTTGTCGGCCGGGTCCTGCTCTTCTCTTCTCTCTCTGAGGCTCTGACTCGCAGGCGTGGGTGCTGCGACAGACAGCGTGGCCTGCCCCACACGCGACAGTAGAAGCGCTTCCCTCCCAGGCTCCCAACTTGGCTGCAGTCAGCAGCACTGACACGAAAATATCAACACTCACAGAGCAGAGCAATCCCCAAAAACGTCAGTTCCGGGTCCACCCACCTGCACATCTACATCCTGCGGAGAGGCGGGCGCCGCTTCACCCTGGCAACAGGCTGAATCCTGCGGAGATTGGATAGGAGACCCCGTCACTCACGTCCGACTGACTTGTACCCTGGGGACGGTGGGTGTTTGGGAAACAGATACGCCTTCTTTGGCACCACCGCACTCTCGCCCTCGCATTGACCTCCCCGCCCCTATGGCTAGTGCGCAGGCCCGGCGCAGCCTCTTTTTTTTTGGGGGGGAGGGGGTAATTTTGTTTACCTGGCTCGAGCAAAAGTTTATGAACCAACTATCACCAAACAGCATCTGCAAATGGGATTGGTAAAATCCCTGCTGTTGAGTGACTGGAGAGCCACAAGCGAATCCTGGCTCTACCCTGCCCCGGTGCCGCTCCCAGCCACCTGGATCAGCCCTGCCGGCCCCCAGTGTCTGCGCCCTGCGTGCTGGTTCCTTGGTCAAGGCTAGCTCTCCGCCCTCACAGCCCCCAGGGCTTCTGGGTCTTTAAATAGACTCCCTCTCCTACCTCCCACCTAGGATGAGTTCAGGGGCGAGTTGAGTCCAATGGACCTGGATGCCCTTTTCCCTCAGGCCGGGAGGCTCCCTCAGCTATGCTCTAATTTGACCACTTTCCGGAAACTCTTGGCCTGCCCTGCTTTGGGTTTTCTTTCCAGTGCTTATCAGCTAATTTGGTCTACCCTTGGCTTCCGTTTCTTTGGAGAAGTCAGGAGGTGGGGATCTTTACCTGCTGGGTGCCTGACTGGACTTCAGCACCTGGGACAACAACAGCTGCTGGCATTTGGGGGGCAAACAGCGGGGGCAAAGTCTATACTTAGGGGGTGGAGGGAGGGTGCAGCATTATGGGGGGAAGTGAAGACTGGGCACGGTGTTGAGTACTGGCCTGGCCTGCCCCCCTCACAGCAGCAAAACCCAAACAAGAGCCTCCGAGGACAGTGGACAAGCCTCTTGCAGGCTGTCTCAGGGGTCACTGCCAAGTCATTGAACACCCACCCATCCTCAAGGTCTACTTCTCTGTCTAATGGCAATGATAATTCGAATATAAGGATCAGAGATGAATGCTTATAAAGTGCCTGGGACTGTGCCTGACGCTTAGTAAGTGTTCAATAAAATAGTCTGCTTGGTGGTGCAATGGGAAGGACCCCAGGCTTTAGAGTCAGGAAGACTTCAGTTTCAGGCGTGAATTGACCAACTGTATGACCTGGAGCACGTCATTGTGTCTCAAATCTGAGGTTACCCAAATGTAAATCAGGAATGGCAATGCCTGCCCACACAGGAAGTAGTTATGATGTGGGATGAGCTCATGAACCAGGAAGGTCTTGTGAGAGGTAAGTAACCTGCCAGTCTTAGGAGCCAAGCCATGCAATAGGTTGACTGAAAGATACCAGGAAAGTCTTCTGAGTGCCCTCTAACCTTCTCCCTTCCAAGGCCAACCCTAGTTGAAGTTCTTCCCTGAGGGGTATCATTGGGACTTTGGTGGTGGTTTCTGCTGATGAGACATAATGGGAAGAGTGGACTCATGTTGACTGGGTCTATTATCTTCAGAGCACTGTGGCTAATGCCTATGTACTTTATCACAGTGGTTTGTCTCACGACTGTCTCGCTCAACCATATAACCCTTACTGGGTGTTTGTCCAGCACTACACATCTAAAACTGAACTTAATCTAACCACAGTTAACCTTCACCAAGTACCTACCATGTGCCTGGCACTGTGTGCTAACAGCTTTGATGTCCCCTTTGACAGCTTTTGCCCAAACAAGAAGCCTGGGACTAAACCTTGTTTTCTCCCTCTTCCTCAACTCCTGTGTGCCTCTCCATCCCAAGTCCTGCCAGTTCTACCTTGCAAGTCTCTTGACTGTCCAACTCTTATACCACCAGGTCCAAACCAGGTCCAAACCACCAGCACCGACCAGCTGGACTACTGCAAAAGCCTCTGCACTGCTTGCCCTCCCTCCAGTACTGTATCTCTATAATCCACTCTCCACAGCCAGAATGATCCTTCTGAAACACAAACGCCATGTTGATGAATTTCCTGTTTATATAGCCTTTGAGGCCCCCATTATCTTTAGGATGAAGTCCAAAATCTGTATCATAACTTCAAAGGCCATTTGTGGTCTGTCCTACCTCTATATCTTCCCACTCTTCACAGCCTCACACTCTCCTCCCCAGCTGCATTGAACTACTTTCAGTTCCCCAAAGGCTCTGAGCTCGCTCTCTAACCTCCAGATCACTGCAGTGCTGTTCCCTCTGTGTAAAACATTTTCATCCTTTTGTCTTTTAATTGGCTAACTCCAGTTCATGCGTCGTGTTTTGACCAATAGGTTCTCCTGCCATCTGCCTCCTATTCTAATCCATTGATTTTAGTTATACGACAATACAGTTTTTGTAATTGCTTAAGTCTATAGATAGAAATGATGTCGACTTTACCCATGTTTGTGTCCTTAGGGCTAGCACATGACATGCAGTTAATAAATATTTGGTGAATAAATGAGTGGTTATCTCTAGTTCACCGATGAGCAACCTGAGGAGAACGAAGGCAAGTGACCCTTTCGCCCAGGGGTTGGAACCTAGATTGACCTGAATCCAGGGGCCGTCTTCTCAGGACTTCACAGCGCTCAATCACACGCTAGCCTGGTGTGCCCAGTAGCCCAGAAGAGAGAACTTAGGGGACACAGCAAGGAAAGGGACTTCATCAGACTGAAATATGCTCTTCATCAGTGTTCATTTCAGAGCTGTTTGCTGTCGGGAAGCCTGGTTGGAGCCCCCTCTAACCAAGCATGTGCTGCGCTGGGTCTGTGTCCTCACCTGAGCGAGGGAGCTGAAGCAGATGATGTCCAAGGGGACTGCCTCATTGGCTGTAGATTCAACTCTTTAAATCATTCTCTTTGAGTCTTCCTAGGTCCCCATGTTCCAGAACACACTACCAACCATCCTCCCATACCTTCACCCATATCAGCCCTTCCACAACTTGTAAGTAATTGAAACCAGTGTATTTTCAAGCACTAGCCCAACCCAGCCCCCGCCTCCAACCCCCAGCCCCACACAGTGAAGAGGTGCTCATTCTCATCTCTCCACTCAGGTTTTATTGACTGATGGAAACTACATCTTTGTCGGCCACCAGCTCCAAGAGGACAGTTCTGGGGACAGGGAACCTGAGATGATGCTAGATTTCAGCCTGAGAGCAGACACACGGTTATAGAAGGTGACCCAAGAGGGAGAAGAGAGGAATATGTGAAAAGGAGTTTGGAAGGAAGAGGAGATGACTGAGGACTTCCTCCTGCCTCCTACAACTCCCAGAGTCCAGGAACAACCAAGGCCTCAGCCCCTGACACTTCTGAACTCCTGCCCAAGAACGTGGAATCAGCCCATGATCTCCAAACACAGCCCAGCTCCTGCTGGCTTCCAGGGTCTTATCTCAGCGAGTCCAGACTCCAGCCCAACCCAGGAAAGAAGCAAACCAGAGAAGTTAGAAGGAGGAGTAGTTAGAGGTGGCCGGTTTGATTAGGGCAGATGTAAATGCTGCAGCAAAGTGGGCAGAGGCTTTGCATAATGTCACAGCAGCAACTGCTATTGCTAGTTTTCTGGGGGCTGAGCGGAGGACAGGGTTGCAGGGACCCATTTCCAGCAGCCAGGGAAGGGGGAGGGTAGTGTGTCTGCTGTCTGTCCATTTGGGAAAGGCAACCTGAACCCTCAGCCCAGGCCTGGGGTGGCAGGTCATCTCTGAGGCCACACATCACATTCCAAGCTTCAGAATCTGGGAGTTGTTGGGCCTGGTGGAGGGTGAGGACCTTCCCGAGAAGCCAGGTCAGAGGTGAGGGCTCTCTTCTCTGAACCCCAAACCTCTACAGCCCAGCCAGAGTAAAGAGGATGTCTCACCTCTCCTCAGGCCAGAGCTCAGATGTCAGTTGAGTGCCCGAGGGCCCGAGGGGAGGAGCATGCAGGAGTGCCAGTCAGGAGAGAAGGCTGGTCCCAGTGTGCTGGGGCAAGGAGGCCAAAGGCCTAAGAAAGCCCGCTGCTTCAGCTCCCACCAGGAAAATTGTCTGGGGTGGGGGAAGTTTCCATTGCTACTTCCCCACCTGGTGGGCCATTCCATGAAATTCATTGCATAGTTCTTAGTGGGAGACAAAAGGGGTCCCCAGGCCTACCCCTCTCTGCGTCCCCAAAATATGGCTTCAGAAAGGAATCCCCAAGAATGGGGAGGGCCCTCTGGGGGGGGGCCCACCCCTCACAGAGAAGAGATCTTGACAGTCTCAGGGAGGAGGCAAGGGGTGCCCAGGCTGGAGTTCCTGAGGGTGCTGCTGGCCCCGCCGGCGCCAGGGGAGGAAGACTGGCTCTCATCGGGGGTGTTGGCAGGAGGGGTAGGGATACTGATGATGGCAGCCACGAAGTCCCGGCTGTCGCAGTTCAGTTCAAGGCTGTCATGGGGCTTGGCATTGAGGCTTGAGCGGCTGTGGATCAGGGTGGGAAGAGGGAACGTTTTTAAAAAGTCATCTGAATACCTGTGACAGCAATCATGGCTTTTACTTATCATCTATTGGGTGCCTGGCACTGTGCCACATGCTTCCCCTGCACCCTCAACTATGGCGCCCAGTGAGGGCTCTGGAGTCAGAGATTCCTGGGTTCGAATCTGGATCTCACTCTAAACCTGTCTTTTATCTCATCTGTAGCACAGTAATAACACCATTTCCTACCTTGTAGGGGTGTTGAGGAGACTAAAGAAGGCAATAAATGATACAGAGTATCTAGAACAGAACAGCATTCACAAATCAATTTTATTAACTACGGTTACTCTTTATAATGCCAAAGTCCACACAGTAGTGTGAGATCTACACAGTCTGGTTCCCATCACTTTCCAATTTTATCTCCTACCATTCTTCCCCTCGCTCCCTCCACTCCACTCACACAGTAGCTTCCTGGAAGTGTCTCTAACAAGGCAGACCCACTCTTGCCTTACGGCCTTCATGCTGTTTTTTTCTGCCTGGAAAGTTCTTCCTTTAGATTTCGCCATGGCTTATTCCCTCGTCTCCTTAATGTCTCAGCTCAGATGTCACCTCAGCAAAGCCTTCCCTGATCACACTATTAAAACTAAGTCGCACCCCATACTTCACTTTTTCCCCTTCCCTGATTAATTTTTCTTCTTGGCATTTGACACACTATGTCATCTGTGCATTTGACACACTGTGTCATCTGTGTCACCCCACTAGAATGTAAGCTCCAGAAGGTTGGGGTTTTCTGTCTACTCTATTCACTGCTATATCCAAAATACCTACAAGTGAGCCTGGCATATAGTAGGTGTTCAGTAAATGTTTGTTGAAAGAATGAATGAAGGCCACCCTGGTGGTGCAAGGGGTTAAGCACCACACTATGAAGTAATCTGCAGCCTCTGCAGCACAAGTTCGATCTCCAGCTGGCCAGAGAGAAACCCACATGGCGAAGCAGACCTCTCCAGTCTTGCCTGCTGCTCCCCTCAGCAGTGTATTTCAGTCAGTCTGCCTGTTCTGCTCCCCACTCTGTCTCTGGTGAATCCTCTCACCTCCTGCATCTCTGGCCTGTACCCTAGCTCTTGTATGCATAAAAATAAATAAATATTAAAAAAAAGAAAAAAGAAAGAATAAACGAAGAATGAGGAGTTACAGACTAGATAAGCCCAAGCTCCCAGCACGGAGGAGTTTGGGTCTAAGCTTGACTTTCTAGGCCTGGAGTCTTAAAACCTCAGGCTCCCTGGTTCAAGCTCTGAGCTTCCTCAGGTGTGGCCAGCAGGTGGGGGTAGGGATGCTCACCTCTGAGGGGCAGGACTCCTCCGCAATCCTGCCAATGTGTCCAGCTCCTGCATGCTACCACGGCTGACCGAGGCAGTGGAATTGGCAAGGCGGATGGCACGGCGCTTGGCTCTACGGGGGCAGCAAGAGGACAGCAGGTTGCCAGGCCCCACTGGCTGGGAGGACACAGAGGTGCTGCGGCTGGTGCGGCCACCCAGTGAGACAGCGCCCAGGGCCTCGCTGAAGGTTAGCTCGTCTGTGAACTCATGGCACTGTAGGCAGAAGGGAGGCATGGTCACAGGCACCACATGGAGCTGCTCCTGCCCCGGACTTTTGCACAGGCTGTTCCTTCCTCCCTGGAAGTTCTCTCTCTTCCTTTCCCTTACCCACCCTTCAAGGCTCAGAACCATTGGGGCCCCTTCCAGGAAGCCCTTGGTGATTTGCATGATGAGTAGTGTGCTTCCCACCCCAGGGAGGGAACAGGTTTGGCAACAGAGGGACTCCATTCTGCCTCACCACCTCGCCTCAGGTCTCACCGTTGTCTTCTCTAGACAATGTAGCAAGTGGTGATGTTGCTGCTCAAAAGCAGAACGGTTCCTGATACACAGTGCCTGTTCTTCCCCACTGCCACTGTCCTGGAGGGGATGGAGCAAAGGAATGAGGTCAGCACCTTCCTCCTCCCATCACTGTCACCTCCAGCCCCAACCTGGGCCCCTACCCACCTCAAGGCCCCCATTCAGCTTGTACTGCAGGAAGGCATTGGTGGTGCCACTCTTTGCCAACCGGATCCTTGCCAAGCGCACCTTCTACAGAGAGAGAGGAGGAAATAGAGGGTCAGGTGGGTAAACCAAGAATAGACTGATTTGGGATAAGGGAACAGGAGGTGTACTCTGACTGAAGGTGTGTTTACCTGCTGTGCTCGGCGCTTGTCGGCACGCTGGTTCTGGTGGTAGATGCGGCTAAAGTTGGACACAATGACTGGCACAGGCAGGGCAATGACCAATACACCACTGAGTGAGCAGATGGATCCAAAAATCTTGCCAGCAATGGTGCTGGGCACCATGTCTCCATAGCTGGGGTAGGGGGAGGTAGGCCAAGGTCAAGAAAAGTGCCCACCACCGCTTAGTCCCCCACTCCATCCCATCCAACCCCAATTCACTCTGCCACCCTGGCCAGGCACTGGACTCTCTGAGTCTCTGTTTCTTGCTCTGCAAAATGGAAGCATGACCTCTCTGGCCACCAGTGGGGGTCAAATCAGAAATGGGTTTGTCCCTCAGTCCCTACCATCTGCTGCCCCCATCCAAGCTGCACATCGGGCATCTGAGTCAGCTGGAAATCTATTAATACCAAGCATAGGGGAGAAGGAGGAAGTCACAGGCAGTAAATATAGCCTCCTGGGGAGACAGTCCCATCACCACAGGCCAGCAAAAGGACTCTGAGTCCCAGGAATAGTGCTCTGCTGCTTTTGCTTGTGTCAGTCTTACTTTTTCTAGTAGAACCCCTTGTTAGTCCTCCAAGAGAAGCCTTGAAACTATCATATGAAAAAATAAGGGAGAGCCTTGAAACTCCCTCTTCCTATCTCCGTGCCACCCCCTTCCATGGAGAATGAACTGAGACAATCTTACCAACTTGTTAAGCAGCTCAGGGAGGTTCCATAACTGATTTGCCTAAGATCACACAGAATTCTTTTGATCTAGCCACAGGACAAATCAGATTCCCTCCACGGAAACACAGCCTCCGCTGTCTTCAGCTTCTAGACCTTTGCTCAGGCTGTGCCCTGCTCACCCTCAAGATGACTTTTCCCTATTTCTTTATTTTGACTCATTTAAAGTCTTTCCAGCTTGGTCATTTCCAGCTCTGTGATGTGTCATCTCAGATAATGTCCTCAACTCTGAAACATGGGCAGCCACCCACCCTTCCAGGGTTGTTGTGAGGACTGAATAGGGTAAGAAGGCATCAACATATCCAGTTCTGACCCCTTCTCAGGGCTCAGGATTTGTCAATCCAACCCTAAACCTTCAACCCAAATTAATGTCTATTCCATAAAAACCTCAAGTCAATCTTTCAGTACCTCTATTAAGGCACTGAGTAAGCCCAATTTAACAGACACTGAGCAGCAACTGCATATCTAATACCAGGGATGGAAATTTAGAAAAGGATCACGGTGCTCTCGACAATGTCTTTAAGAACAACAGGGGGTTAGTGATTCCATTGGATACTTTTATCTCAATCGTTTCCTCTTGAGAACTGGCATGCTGAAAATATCTTGTTCTGGGAAACATCAGGGAATCACAAATCCACAGAGGTAGTGTCCCACACAGCAGATGATTCTAGAGGATTGGGAGGCATGGGTCATCAAGATGGAAATGGGGTGATAGCTAATACCTATTTATCCTGCACCAGAAACATTCAGAGAATTTTTACCACCGTGCTATCATTGAAAGCCCTCTAGATGACGAAGAGATCATCATTTCTCATTTTACAGAGTGGAAAACAGGCCTGGAGATAACAAGGTCAACAGAAAGGGCAGCTAAGACCATCTTTGAACCCAAGTCTGCTGACCTGGAGAATCAAGGCATTGTCAGAGCTGGGAGGGATCTGGGGAATTGTCCAACTCTCCGGGTTTTTACAAATGAGCAAACTGAAGTTCAAATTGCCAGAGATCATTTATCTGACCTTCATAATTTTATAAAAGGGTGAGTGTAATTGACTGATTGGGCAGCTCCCAGCACAGGGTCTGCACTCACCCAAGTGTGGTCATGGTGACTATGGTATACCAGAAGGCCGCGGGGATGCTAGTGAAGTTGGTCTTGTTTGTGCCCTTCTCTGCATAAAACATGACAGTGGCGAAGATGATGATGGCCATGGTAAGGGAAAAGAGGAGAAAGCCCAGTTCAGAGGCACAGCTCTTGAGTGTGTAGCCCAGAATCCTCAAGCCCTGGGAGTGCCTGGAGAACTTGAAGATGCGAAACACCCGGAACACACGCAGGGTGACAAAGGCGCCCGAGACGTCCTCTTTCTTGGGCACGAAAAGCCCAATGTAGTAAGGCAGGATGGCCACCACGTCAATGAGGCTCATGACACTCCGCAGAAAGCGGCAGCGGCTGGGGGCAGCAAAGAGCCGCAGGAGGTATTCGCCGGTGAATATGAGCACACAGGCCGTGTCCATGCAGAAAAAGGCCAGTGGGAAGCGATCTCCGCAGGGCTGCTCCCCAGGGAGTTGCCGCGCAGGGCCACGGCACGGGATGGTCTCCACCACGTTGGCGATGACTGACACAGCGATGAAGAAGCCCGTCACGTAGTAGAAAACGAGGGCCGCGGTGCTGGTGTGCGGGTTCTCGAAGGCCCGCCAGAGCCGCTGCCGCAGGGAGCTGCCCGCGGGCAGGGCTGGGCCGTCCCCGGCCTGCTCGGCTTCCTCATCCTCCGCCAGGCGCTCAGCGTTCTCCTTCTTGCGATCCCGGTACTCCTCGAGGCAGCAGTCCCCGATGAGCTCAGGTACCAGGCCGTAGAAAGCCAGCTCTTCGTCGAAGGCCTGGATGCACTCCTGCCGCGGGCAGTGCAGTCGGCCGGTGCGGTAGAAGTTCAGCACGTGCCGGAACATGTCCGGGTCACGATCGAAGAAGTATTCACCCGAATCCGCGTCATAGAAAAATTCCTTCTCTGAACTGCCCAACAGAGTGTCGGGGTAGCGATCCAGAGTGTTCTTCCAGGTCTCAAAGCGCCTTCCGCTCACGTTCACCACCAGAACCTCATCCCCTCTGGAAGCCTTCACCCCTGGCGCCGGAGGCAGGGGCTGCTGGGCCAGGGGCAGCCAGCCCACAGCGGCTGCCCGCGCAAAAGGCAGCCATGTGGCCACACCTGCCGCCATCCTGCCGCGCCCCAGGCCCACAGAGACTTGGGGGGTTAGCCTTTAGGAGAATGTGGCTGTCTCCAGGGTGGTGGGGGGCTTGGAGAGGCCCTGGGCCACTCCTACCAGGAAACTGAGGGTGTCTAGAGAGGCCAAGAGCAACCAGGAGGAGGAACTAGAGAGATGGGCAGGGACTTGGGGGGCATTTAAAGGGTCTAGGAGGGACCTGGGAGGTGTCTTAAGGGACCAAGAAGGGGCTAGGGGATGTGGAGAGGAGCAGAAAAGGGGTACCTACAGATGCCAAGAAGGATCAGGGAGTGTTTTGAGAGACTGAGATGATTCCAGAGTGGCCAGTATGTATGAGAGATGTCTGGGGGCTCCTAGAGGGGGCAGGAAGCAGTAGGTATTTATCCACACTCTCAAGAGTTCTGAGGGAAGGAAGAAGGGACTAGAACCCCTTAATTGGGCTGGAGAGGGAACTGGGGGCATCCAGAGCAGTGGAAATGGGACCTGAGGTCTTTGAAAGAGGTTAAGAGTATCTGGAGGGGTGGGGGGAGACTGAGCAAGGTGAGAAGGGTTGTTCACACCCTCAAGACTTCTGGGGGAAATATTAGGGGGTTGGAGCCCCCTCGTGGATCCAGGAAAGGGGTTGGTGCATCCAGAGGGGTGGCTATGGAGCCAGGATGTTGTAAAGAGGCTGAGAGGTGTCTTGGGAGGCCTTGAGCTGCCAAGAATAGCCTGGGGGGTGGTGTCTACACTCGAAGGAGTTCTGGGGAAGGCAGGCAAGCTGGGGCCCCCTAGTGGGGTGGGAGAAGGGAGTGGGGTATCTAAAGGGGTAGATCAGGTGCTGGGTTATTTTTCAGAGGCTGAGAGGTGTCTAGGGGAGTGAGGAATTGGTGGTGGGGGGGGTTGGCTGAAAGAGCCTGGTCCACACTCTCAAGAGTTCTGGGGGCAGGGGGAAGAAAGGGACCTGGGGACTCCCTCAGGACTGGGGTTCAATTGGAGGGAAGTTGGGCACAGACCCAGAGCACCCAGAGGGTCTAAAAATACTAAGATAAGAGAAGGGGGTCCTCCCCAAAATGGGTTGGAGAGGGGGGTGGGGTGCCAAAAGGGAGTTGGGTGTGTCTCCGGAGAGGGGGGCTACTGGGCCTAGCAAGAGGCAGGTTGGGGAGGCTAGGATAAGGCTGCGTCCCTCTGTTGGGGGCTGGTCTGGGGAAACCACACCCCGAGGGGCTGGCGGTGTGTGCTGGGCAGCGGCAGTGGCAGTAGCAGCAGCGGCAGCAGGAGGAAGAGGAGAAGCAGCCACAGCCAGGCCCGGGAGAGAAGACAGTACAGGCAGGGGGCGGGGGCTGGGTCCCTGGAAGGACAAGGTCCCGCGGGACCCCTGGGGACTGTCCCAGGATGGGCTAGGGCGCGGGGGCTGGACCAGAGAAGGATACGGACAGCGCTGCTGGTGGCCCCCTCCCCCTCCCCATGGGGCCGTCCTCACCTGTGTCCCCTCCGCAGCAGCGGCAAACAGCGGTGGGGCTGGGGGTACCAAACACCGGAGCTCCTGCCCCCTCTGCAGAGCTGCCTGAGTTCTCCTCCTCTGGCTCTCTCTCCCCGCCCCTCTGAGCGTGCCGCGAGATGGAGAGAGAGGCAGGGAGGGGCCTCGTGGCTCCCAGAGCCCCCTCCCCTAGGACAGCCAGAGAGGGACCCTGGGGAGACTCCGCCTCCTACAAAGCTGGTTGGGCCTCAGTCGCGTCATCTGGAAAATGGGGGTGGCAGGGATCTTTGCCAGTTCTCCCCACCTCCTTCCTGGACTCCCCCCTCTTCCTGCCCAGCTCCTACCCCTCTGCCCCTAGAGGCCCCCACCCCCACCCGTCTGAATCAGCAGCACTTAGCAGAGGCGATCGATGGGGAGGCGGCTGTTAATGGCCCCAGTAATGGCCCCAGAACAGAGTGCCATGGAGAATGATGCAGCTGCTGTGTCCCCTCCCTGCCCCCCAAGGCTGTAGAAGGATTGGAGAAGTGTGGGGGGTGAGGAACAGGGGAGATATGGGGGGGGTGTTTCTTTAGATGGCCAGACCCCCAAAGCTGCCCTCACCTGGAGGGGGCTAGTCCAGCTCTAAGGAAGACTTGTACTGTGGGACTGGAGCACCTTTCTCTTGTTTTCAGATGTGAGATGGGGGGTGATGTTAGGGGTGTCCAAATGGGGACAATCCAAGTCCCAAGCCCAGGCCAGGCGGGCTGGCTCAGAGGCAGCCTCCCTCATCTGTGCACAGCAGGTAGTCCCCAGTCACACCTCCTCCCCCAGAGGGCTCTGCTCCAGGTCGCAGTAGTCAACACTAGGTATGGAGTGTCCCTCCCCTACGCCCCCCCCCCCTTGGGGATGGGTTCAAACCCCAGCTTTGTCACTTGACTTGTGGTGTCCTTGTGCAGGTGACTTGCATTGTTTCCTCCAGCATTAGGTGATGAGTTACCCCAACTCCATAGTGTCACTGGGAGCATTAAATGGGCTGATGCAGAAGGGGAAGGCATGGGGCACGACACACACAGGAGGCCTCATCTTTGGTAGTTAAAGCTGGGTACAACGGGGAAGCCGTGATGCAGGCCAGTTTTAGCCTTCCCATCTATTTGCCCACTCCATGTAATCTTCCATTTGCCCACTCATCACACTCCTGATTTATCCCTTTTTCCTCCGCTCCACCCACCCACCACCCACTTATCCATCCATTCTCCCACCCACACAACCATTTGCTCTTCCCACCTGTACAGTCCATTTAGTCATTATTCCACCCTTCCACTCACTCATCCATCATATATTCACCCGATCCCACCTAACTGTTCAGCAATCCATACAGATGTATCCCCCGTCCACCCATCTATCCATCCACAGCCCTGCTCATGATTTATTCACTTACACCATACACTTCCCATTCTTGAGCTGATCCATCCGTATACCCACTCATCCATCCACACATTCCCCTCTCCATCCATCCACTTAACATTCCCACCTGGTCATTCTCTACTTATCCGCTTACCAATCCATCTATCCACTTAGTCATCAAATCACCAGTTCATCCATCTGTCCATTTCCCAACCTATCCATCATAGGTATCCACGCAACATTCCACTTATGTATCCATCAGTCCATACAACCACTTAGCCATCCTTCCATCTGTCCACTCACACTCATGCACACCCACACCCTATCCACCCACATACACTATCTGCAGCTATATCTGCTCCACTGAGTTTGAGGGGCCGGTGAGCAGCCACTGGAGACAAGCTAGGTGAGGGTGGGGAGAGAATAAAGTTGCATCCAGAGACCACCCTCTTCATGCCAGAGATCTCACCACCCCCCAGCACATCCCTACTGGTTGACAAGAATGAGAGCAGACAGTCAGTGGGTGGGCCCGTCTGGCCAGATGGTATTTTGGCTACACGGCCTTTATATACACACATGTTGCTAGAACGCTGAACATGGACCACGCCCCACCCAACATCCCCAGTCCCAAATGCAGAGTAGCCAGGCTTCCAGACATAAATTAAAAATAAAGTAAAACTAAAAGAGTTGGTCTCTGGGAGAGAGGAAGAGCTCATGCAGAGATGAAGACAAAGGCCCCTGGGAGCCAGAACCAAGAAGGAGGACACATCCCTGCCGGCCCCTCCCCTCAGGATCCTCACCCCCCAGGGCCCTCTGCCCTAAGATGGGGTCACTAACATCAGTCATCAGGCCTCCGACCCTTTAATGTCCAGTCTCCCACCTTATTTGATTTTGGCGCTGGCCCCTATTTTCCCACCACAGCCCAAAGGAATGGTGTCCTGGGGGGTGGGGAGGGGTGGGGATGGGTGCAGCCCGTAGGTCTTTAGCTGGCTTCTCCGGGTTCTAGATCTGAGTCAGGGGACCCCACACATTCCTTGCTGAGCCGCACAATTTCCTGGGATAGAACTTCCATGTCCTAAGAAACAAAGGAGCCATCAGGGGCCAGAGAAGGGACAGGGGAAGCCCCCTCACCAAATCAGGGGTATTATCATTTTCACCCCATTAATCAATGCCCAGCTATGTCCAGCCTGGGCCACAGAGATAGTTGGAGAAGCTCACAGAGCCCCCGGCACCAGGCTGAGTGAAGAAAAGGTGGTGTCATAGGGGCAGGAGACTCTAGAGAGAGAGCTGTGAAGATGGGCGTGGACCACCTGCTGTGCACAGTGTGGCCAGAGGATCTAACCCCCACCCTTGCCCTTCTTTCCCACTCAGTGGCGATATTGGGGTGGCAGGATGAGCGGATGGACGTGTGGATGGATGCATGCAGGATCCATGGTAGGTAAACAAGTAGATGAGTGAACTGCTTAGAGGGCAGATGGAGGACAAGAGAAGCAGCAGGTCACTGGGCGGGTGAGTGAGAGAGATGATTGATGAGTAGGTAGGAGAGAGCAGTCCCCGTCAGGAAATGGGTGGAAAGACATAGGACAGATGACCGGATGGGAAGGTGGCAGATGGGCAAATAGTAGGGTAGGTTGATGGGAGAGCTGGGTGAATGTGTATAAATAGACGAGTGGGCGGATGCAGGGACAGAGGGAAGAGTGAGAGTCTAAACCAATAGTCTGCGTGTTGACTGAAGGGTGGGAAGCTGAGAGGATGAGGAGTGGTTGGCGAGTGGGGTGGGTAGGCAGGTGGCTCAAAGGATGGACGGGAAGGCTGGTAGACCACACGCACCTTGTGCAAGTGCATATTCTTGGTGAGCTGCTCCTCCAGCATGTTCTGCAGCTTCTTGTTCATCTCCCGAAGGTTCTCATCACCTGGCTTCACTAGGTCTCTCAGGACGCTGCCCAGTCCGCTGCGGTCTGTGTGGCCTGCTGCCACAGACACATCTGCAAGGGCCCAGTCTTGAGAGCCACCTCCTCGGCAGAGCCAGGAGAGATGGACAGAGAAGAAAGGAAGGGAACAAAGAGCAGGGGAGAGGAGTGGAGGGAGAAGCCAGGAAATGGAGGGGCAGAGGCTTTGCCGTGGGAAACCTGGCTGTCAGTTGCTAGCTTTGAAGTGGGGAAAACAACTGATGGAGCTGGAGAAAGGTATATGACTGTATGTGGAGCACGCAGCACACAGTCAGCTCTCAGCACTTGCCAGTCAGCATCATTCTCATGGATATGAGAAAATAGGGAGAGGAGAAGGTTTGGAAAGAACGAAAGCACAAAAAACAGGGAGGGGGAGAAAGAGGAGAGAGGCGGGAGAGGGGAGGGGGCCAGAGCAAGGGAGAGAGAGATATAAGGATCCCAGAAAGGGCAGATATGCAGAGAAGGGAAATTTCCAGGGATGGAACAATATAGACGCTCAATGGGAACAGTGAGACGAGGTGAGGGGGTGGGGCAGAAAGAAGAGACACGGGAGGAGAAAGGAGAAAGAGAAGGGCAGAGGGACACGTTACGGGCAGGGGCATGGAGAGATGACAAGGACACAGAGCGGGGAGGAAATAAGAGACAGAACAGAAAGGCGCACAGGCTGGCCCCGCTCTCCCCTCCACCAAGTGTGGTCTTGTCAGTAACTTGGCTGAGTT